AGGGGGGGGGGGAGCCCCCAACTCTGGACAGTGCCGGCAAGCTCTCCTGCCCACCCTGCCCCGAGTGCCTCTGCTTCCTCCTGAGGCTGTGGGGCGGGCCGGGGCGGGGCTTCTGCCACCTCTGCCGCGGTCCCGGCTCTGATTTCTGGTTTCTGACTGTCGCTCCGGGGCCGGGCGGTCCACGGCTCTAGAGTAGAAGGTATCCCCGCTGCCTGCTGTCCCTGAGCCATGCCCCACAGCCACCGGCCGTCAAGGAACAGCCAACCCCTCCTTCGTGGGCAGTCCCACCGCCTCTCCTTGTCCAATTCCGCGGCTCTCTGCCAGGAAAGGCACAAAACCCAGCCCCCTTTCTGCTTTCCCACGCCCCTCAGAGTTGAAGGAGGGGGTGTGCCAGAGCCAGAGAAGCGGCTGGGGGCTGAAGAGTAGGGAAGAAGCGAGGTGGGCAGTCGACTTGGCTTGAATGATTGGCGCTGGGGCTGGGGCTGGGGCAGGGCGCTCAGGTCCCGCTTCTCCTCAAAGTGGTTTCCTGGTGGTCCTGGGGGAGGCAGAGGGTCCCTGGGAACCCAGCACCCATGCCCATCTCCTCTGACGCCTTTGCAGGAGTATGGGCAGGGGGCCTGGGTGGGGAATGGACTCCTGGATTTGGGAAGGAAGTTTAAAGGGTTTGTTGACCTGTTCCTCGTAACACCTGGACCGCGGACTTGTTGTGCCCCTGCTTGTGGGCGGTGCGTGTGTGTTGGGGCTGGGAGGGGGATGTTAGCTCTCCTGCCGGGAGTTCTCAGTGGTTGGGACTAGGGAGGTGCTGCCTCTGCACACCTCCAGGGCACTTGGGAGCTGGGCTTCCCAGGGGTCTGAACAGCTACTTGTCCAGCAGCCTGAGGGGATTCTGATGGGGGGGAAGGGGGGTGCCAGGGCAGAGCAGGTCTGGCACCCTGCCCCAACATTCACATCCCCAAGCCTGTTCAGGGGACACCAACCCGAACCTCAGCCCTTACAGACACACACCTTGTTTCATGTGTGAACTGAACCCTGTGTTTCTGCACCCCTGTCCTTTCCTGATTGTCGGAGGGAGTGCTGGGTGGTGGGGTGGGGGGGGGCCGGCTCTCTCTGGAACTCATCTCTTCAAGAGGAGAGGGTCTTGCCGATGAATTAATTTACATAGCTTTCCTCATGATATAACTATATTTCAGAAAAATGGGTAAGTAGCAAACCAAAACCCACCTTTTCTAATACAACAACCGTTAACGTTTTAGTGTATTTCCTTCCCATCTTTTTTCCCATTCACATTCCCCCCGCCCCCCCGGGCTGTGTATACAATTCTGTATCCTGCCTGTTTTTCTGTTGGTTCTGGTTTTTTATTTAATTTGAGGGGGTCCGTTTCTTAATGGGGGCTCCCTCTTTTTCTCCACCATCGGCTGTGGTGAGAGCTCCTTGTAAGAGTGGGTGAAGAGGTCCAGTGGGGCCTCGGGGGTGTAAGTCCCTTATTTCTCTCCCACCTGCCCCTCTGCATCTGTCTCGAGCCAGCAGATTTGATGAGGGGGAAGCAGATGCACAAGGAGGCAGTGCACTTGTAGCCTGTGTAGTTACAGAAGTGCAAGGATGAGGCCCTTTGCCAGGGGATCTGACCAGCAGGGGTGTCATCTGCACGCGGGCATTCTTGAGTGGCACTGAGGTGTCCAGTCTGAGTCCCCAGGGCCACATTGCTGGGACTCAGTAGGCTTCCCCAGTTTGGCGAGGGGGCATTTCTTCAGGCCTGGGCTCCTTCTCTGCAAGTCCAGAGACTTCTGGGCCTCAGGGCACAGACTGGGAGGCCCTGCCCCCATTTGGGGGACTCTGGCCCCCCTCCTTCCACAGGGGAGCACGCTGAACCTTTCTCCTCATTCTTCTAACAGCGGCCCGTCGTCTCTCCAGTTTGTGTCTTGGTCCCCAGTCAGTCCTCTGCTCTGGTCTTTCCCTCCTGAAACAGCAACAACCAACCTTCCTTTCTCTGCCCCTGCCTCTTCAACCTCTGCCCAGCTCCGCCCCGTCGCACCTCTGGGAAACGTGCCCAGGAGCACTCTTCCCCAAGGCTGCTTGGGATCTGACAGTGTCCTTGATGCCTTTGCCCCACAGCCCCCTGATTGTCAAGGCTTCTAGACGTTTCCTCACTGTCAGAGGTCAACTTTTAACAGTAGCACTCCCTTGCCCTCCGCGTCTTTCCTCCCAGGTTTGAAGGTTAACCTCCCTCCCCCCCCCCCCCCACCTCAGCCTCCTAGCCGACTGCTCCAGCCCCAGTCTCTCACCCCCCCCAACCAAATCATCTACCATGCCCTGGGGGGACCAGAGCAATATTTCCAAAGAACTTTTCTCCACTCTGTTCCTCTCCAGTTAAAACCTTCAGTCACCCCTACTTCCTCCCAGGTATTCAGCACTCAAGGCTCATCTCCCTCTGGCCCCAAACTCCCTTGGAGCCCTTGACCTGATACATGGCATCTAACAACGCCTCTTGAAACAGTTCCCCTGGCCCCAGCATGCACAAAACCCACTAAATAAAGTCTTATGGTCTCGGGGACCACCCCTCACCCCAGCACCTCCTCCATTTGCGCCCTCCCACCCAGACCTCAGTTCTTAGTGCTGCCTAAGGATACTGGCCGCAGTATCAGTCAGCCTGTGCGCCTCCAGCCTGTGCCTTCCTTTAGGGCCAGGATAGTGGCTTGTTCATCCTGGTGTCCTCAGCACCAGGACAGGCTAGAGCAGTCAGCAGGGGGGCCAACGAGGATCTGCTGAAGGACACAGGAGTGGATGTTAGAAAGTTCCCAAATCCCTTTCTGCTGGGCTCCCCTCTCCACGTCGGTGGACTCCAAGATCCACCTGAGTCCAGGAACCGGGTACTGGGACAGCCAAATTGTACAGAAGGGAGGGGTGGAGAAGGCCCAGGACCTGCCCAGATGGGTAAGGGAGGCTCTCTGCCAAGAGGAAGGAAGTCCTGAGCAGAAGAGGGGTAGGGAGAAAAGAGGGGCTCCATGCCCTTGCCCTGGAGAGGCAACAGGGGAGGGAAGGGAAGTTGGGTGCAGAGGGCTGGCAGGAACTTCTCAGTGGGGAGCTCTGCGCAAAGATCCCTGGCCAGCGCTGTGACTTCATCTCCAAGCCGCAGGTCCCAGCCCCAGCCCGTGTGCCCCGGATGACCCTGCAGACCACGTCCTCTTGCTGAGGTGCGCGGCCCCGGCGGCAGCCCAGGGAGACCCCTGCGAGA